GCGCCCCCCCGCCGCCGCCGCCGAGCCGCGCGATCCCGCCGCGCCCGCCCAGATGCCCGCCTTCTGCTTCGAGGTGGCGCCCGGGGCCGCAGCCCCGCCGGCCGCCCGCAAGCCGCCACTGCAGCCGCACTACGCCGCTCCGCCGCCGCTCGCCGTGCGGGCCCTGGGCGCCGAGCGCCTGGTGCTACGCGCGCCCGAGCCCGGCCCCGGCCCCGCCGCCCCGCGCAGGGGCTCCTCCGCCTGGCTGCTGGGGGAGCTGCTGCGGCCCGACGGCCCCGAGCCCGGCCCCGACGGGAACGTCCGACTGAGCGAGCACCGCCAGGCCCTGGCCGCCGCTAATCCCCGCGGCCCCGAGCCCGGCCCAGCGTCCTGGGCCGAGGAGCCGCGGCCCGAGCGGGCCTCCCGCGGCTGGGACCGGGGCGGCGATCGCAGCGACCCCGCCGGCTCTCAGGCCGCGCGGCGCCCGGACCCGGAGCCCGAGGCGCCCGCCGCCCGGAGCAGCGAGGCGGCGCCGGCCAGGTCGGACCCGCGCGACGAGAAGCTGGCCCTGTACCTGGCCGAGGTGGAGCGGCAGGACAGGTACCTGCGGCAGAGGAGTAAGTACCGCTTCCACATCATCCCCGACGGCAACTGCCTGTACCGAGCGGTCAGCAAAGCCGTGTACGGGGACCAGAGCCTGCACCGGGAGCTGCGGGAGCAGACGGTGCACTACATCGCCGACCACCTCGACCACTTCAACCCCCTGATCGAGGGCGACGTGGGGGAGTTCATCGTGGCCGCCGCCCAGGACGGGGCATGGGCCGGATACCCCGAGTTGCTGGCCATGGGGCAGATGCTGAATGTGAACATCCACTTAACGACTGGCGGGAGGTTGGAGAGCCCCACGGTGTCCACTATGAGCCACTACCTGGGCCCGGAGGATTCCTTGAGGCCCAGCATTTGGCTCAGCTGGCTCAGCAATGGACACTACGACGCGGTTTTCGATCACTCCTGTCCCAACCCGGAGTATGACAGTTGGTGCAAACAAACCCAGGTGCAAAGAAAGCGGGATGAGGAACTTGCCAAATCCATGGCCATTTCGCTCTCCAAAATGTACATCGAACAAAATGCATGCTCTTGAACTGTGTGAAAACCTTAACCCCTTGGGGGATTGCATAGGTAACTTGTGTTTGGAAAACCACAGGAACTCTAATCAGGGTAACAGCACTTTTAAACTTCCTAGTAGATTTCTCTGTGGGTGTGATGCCTTAATCATTTCTTTGAATGTTTTTGCAGAGCTGAAGGTTGCTGGGCACCTAAGTGATGTTTCCTGATAGCTTTGGGTGATCCTACTGCCATTTATAATTTGCTGTATAAAATGAGCACTACTTAAATTTGCAAGCTGATTTCTCACAGTATAATAAATTTGTTCATTCCTGGTAGCCTATTTTCTATAAAAATGTATTTTTGCACATTTTTAAAAATTGGTGTACCTTCGTCTACGACGTGACCCATTTTGACACAGCTTTCAAGCATAAATCCAGAGAAGTGCTTTCTATGAAATTCATTATTTGGAGCAGTTTTGTGATTGAGTAGTTATTTTATGTTGGAATTTGAATTTCACAATTCTTAGATAATTTTTTCAAGTGGATATTGATGTACTCATGTTACCAGATGATTGGCCCATTCCACTTTGGTGAAACAGATTTGTGGTTTTGGAAGTTGTTACTCTTCTCAAAATGGATAGTCTTGAAATACTTAAAGGCATGAATGTGGGAAGACTCTTTAAGGGATAGTACCAGGTCTTACTTGAATGAAAGTCTGATATTTGCTGATGACAGAATGACAGTTCTGTGCTGTGGTTGATGTTTAGAGTCTGGTGCTCTTGTTTTTATTTACATTTGTCATTTTGTTATGAAAGAATTTTAACCTGCTGTAAAATCTTCTGACGAGAGAAGTCTCTTGCTTTATATAGCTTCTTGAATTCAACTAAGAGATTTAAAAACTGATAGCATAAATGCCTAGAACCATCCCTGGCATTTTTATAGCAGGAGAATATTGTCTTAGTATTCTGTTCCTTTAAAATTCTTTGGTAAGGCAAAGTAGGATTGCCTCTATTATGTAAATACATCTGTAAACAGAGCTTGTATGGTTTGCTGGGTCAAACAGTATTTCTAATCTAAAAATCTTATCTCATTTCCACTTTAACTACTTTTAGTCATATTTATTAAGTAATGAGTTTGTACTTTTTTATTTTGTAACGTTTTGTGATTTTTTTTTTGTACAATACTGTATTTGTAAAATAGCAGTTCTCAGCTGATGGAATGAATAAAATGCACACTTTTACAACTGCCTTTGGGTGAAGTGGTTTTTAGATTCTATCTGTAGGAACCATTCTTAAATGTATTATGCAAGTTTTTTTCATGTGTAAAGATGCCACAGAATTATGAGAGGTTTCCTAAATTCTCACATGAACAGGATAGGCCAGTCATTTGTAATTTCAAAGGATAAGTCACAATGAAATATAACTTAAAGGTGGAGTGACTCAAGAAATTGCTCTCATTTCTAACTATAATTTCATCTAAAATTAAAGCAGTACCTATGGGCTAATGAAGAGGGACATGCAAGTTTTGTATTTCATGTAGCCCGTGTCTAGTGCAGTGTCATACTCTGGCGTTCCTCTCAGCATGGATTTTAGTGTTTTAAAGAGAAATCAAAGCAGTCCTTTAGTTTTTTACTTAGTCTGGGCCTCTTGAGACCATGAGTCATTTTAAGATGTGTTACCAGATCAGTTGGAAAGTGTGTGTTACGATTTGAAGTGTCCTTGCTAAAGTTGTAGTGTGGAAACTCCCTTCCCACTGCCATCTATTACCAGGTGAGGCCTTTGGGGCAGTGACTGAGTCCAGAGTGCTCTGTCTTAGGTAGGGGTGGGAGAGGACCAGCCTGGCTCTCGGTTCTGCCAGGAAGATACCTCCAGGGCTCCATCTAAGAAGCTGATGTTTACCACATAGGACTAGGACACCGGCTGGCCCCTTCATTGATTTCATGGATTATTTATTATAAATTACCACCTCAGGTACTTTGGTTACAGCAGCAGGGAGGCTTCAGAAATCACATTCATTCATGTACAGTAAAAACTAGTTGATGACTTAGACGTGGTTATGGACAAACTACTGAGCTTGCGTTCACTGTTAGCCATGTGTTTGGAAGGATGCCCTGGGTTATAAAGAAAAGACAATTTGTGAAAAGCTTAAACGTCAACTGTGAATCTCTGGATTTTCAGTAAAGGTTTGCTCCATGCCTTCACTAATTTGGGAAGAAAGAAATTCTTTTATTTACATTACCAGGCTACTCCTCCCCTTTATTTAGAGATGCTTTATTTGAAGGTGCTCACAGTTTACACAAGAATGAATAGAGTGAGTTAGATATAAACTTCTGTAAGCCTTTTGATTTAAATAGGTTCTGTGCATACTGTTTCATTTTCACATTAGATTCCCAAGTCCTTGATTTTGATTCAGAAGTGTCATGTAAAATAAAATGAATTCTAAGATCATATAACACAACACCATGTCTTCTTAGTTGTCTGGCTTTGTAGGTTTGTTGATGTCTTTATGGTTTATTTTTTGTTGTTTTTTGAAGAGGAACTGCAGGGTTTGTCACTCCTTTATACCTAATACTTATTCTTTACAACCGTACAGTTTTACATGTTACCAGGAGTTGACCTGGATTACTAAAGGCTTCAGCAGTTGAAGAGGTGAAAATGTGGTAAGCGCTTATTTACTTTTAGCAAACATTTATTAAACAGATTGATTCCTGCAGTGGCTCTTATAAAATGGCCAAGAGACTCAGCTGTATGACAGAGACACTTGTGCTGTGAATTTACTCCCTGTGAAATATAATGAGGCAAGGGTAAGGTTTATAAGCAAACCCAGCTGATGTTTTCAGGTAAATTAGGGAGAAAATCATACTATTAACTTGAGAATTTTATTAAAGTGGTACACAGATTAAGAACTATGAGCTGAGCCTGGTAACACAGTCCTCTAATCCCAACATTCTGGGAGGCTGAGGCAGGAGGATTGCAAGCTCCAGCCCAGCCTGGACACTCCCTGATTTAGTGGGACCCTGTCACAAAAACAAAAAAATAGAAAAGGGCTAGGGATGTAGCTCAGTGTGAATGGCCTTGGTTCAATCCCTGACACTGCAAGCAAGGCAAAGCAAAACAACCAAAAAAACCATGATGCAAATAACTAATGTGACTATTTGATTTTTGATTACCATTTAAAAGTTAAAATGGTGTAAACTTCCCACATGTTGACAAGAACCTAATGATTGAACTCTTTGTTCATTTTCTACAAAATAACAGACTCCTTATATATTTTGTTTTTTAAGACAAAGTCTTCCTGTGTAGTCCAGACTGATTGAACTCAGATCGTCCTGCCTCAGCTCCCTGAGTCCTGGGATTAGGGGTGTGTGCCACCATACCTGGTATTCATTTTACGATGTTTAATTGGATTGTTAAATAACTGTTGGTAAGTGTCACAAAGAAAGCCACATGGGATGCTTTCATTACGTTTTTAAAACCTGTAGTTGGGATACTGAATTGTGGCAGTATTGTCACAAAGTACAGAGCTTTTCTCAGAAGCCACATTTTACGGCAGAGAGGAAATATCTTAGAGTGTTTTGAACATCAGAGTCGGTCAGCCTCAGCTTGGCTATGCAGTATTATGGTGGAACATTTGCTGCTTACTTTTTGTACAGAAAAATAAAAACGATCTCGAGTTATTCTCATTGCTTTAGTTACATTTTTTATGTGTCTTTTCTCTTTTCCTAATAGCTGAACTCTTAAAATTTTACATGATATTCAGTGCACTTATACGGAGGAAAAACATTAGAGAAGAGAAATAGCTTTTATTTTAAAATGTATTTTATTATTGCTGTAGTGGAGATTGAATCCAGGGTCTTGGCACAGAGCTACATCCTTAGCCATGTAACATGTTTAAAAATTTTGTGGCAGGGTGGCATACATTCACTCCTTTGGCCAGGTTGGGTCCCACTTCTGGTTCCCCCTCCTCCAGAGTTCTGGGATTACAGACGTGCATGGCCATGCCTGGTTGAAAAAGAGCTTTTAAACCTGTAGACATCTGATAATCTGGTATGTAGCTGCTGTGGTTGGGCATGGCTCCCTAAAACTGGTGTATTGACAACTTAACACCCAAAGTCATATGTTACTGGTGTTTGTATTTTTAAAAATTTCATTATATTTTTATTTTTTAATAGTGAATGTTTGCCATACATAATAGTTACATTCACTTGGGAGAATTGGAGCATGCATGAGACATAGACTGATCATTTTTGATGCTTTACCTCCCTCCCAACCTTCCCACCATCCCTTTCCCAGGCTTCTAAATGTTTGCCTATTTTACTCTCTCCTTTATTTTACTCTTTTATTTATCTGTGTTTTAGATTTCTCATGTCGGAGAAATCATGCAATATTTAACTTCCGTGTCTGACTTGTTTCACGTAACATGTTGATGGTACTTGAAGATGGCCCTTTGAGAGGGGATGGTAACACTCATGGACCAGGGGGTTATGAAAGCAAGCTCCCTGGCACCCCAGTCTGACTTGGCATGTCATGCCCTCTGCCATATTATGATGCAGCAAGAAGACCCGCCCTCCCAGGACACTGTCGCTGTGTTCTCGGACTTGCCAGCCTCCAGAACCGAGAGCTAATAAATAAAACCGAATTTCTTATCTATCACTTAGGTAACTGCACTGGATAAATTCAAGAGTATATACTTCAAATGTGCAACATGCTCATATTTAACTGTTACTTGCCGCCTAAAATTGTAAGTCTAGACTTTTTTTTTTAAACAGTCCTAGAAGGAATATAACTATCTCAAAGAAGCCCTGAGGAGCTACATGGCTTGGAGTTTTACTCCTAAACAGCTCAATAGGTACAGACTCCGTTGTGTTCTTGGTTGAGTCCCTGGGTTCTAACCCAGTACCTAGTAGATTAGTTGCTCAGTAATTGTTAGATGAACGAACAAACTGGAGGGAAATGTAAGCTTTGGAAAATATTTATTGGGTGGATGTGAAATTAAATGATTTGACCCTAAAAGTACTGGGGCTGATCACTCACAAAATGGGCATTTTAAACTGAAATAGCCAATTATAAAAAGACACTGAAGTATTGGGGTGCTAGGGAAGTACTGAGGTGAAGTACTGAGGTCCCAGGGTTTTGCGAATCAAGAACCCTTCCACTGAGCTACTTCCAGCCTTGAACTTTGAATTTTATAATTGACAAAATAGTTCTGGAAACCAAATGGATAATTCATTTCTTTTATCTTTGTGTCATCTTTCAAGCATGGTGAGAGATTATGTAATATCTGAAGTGATTTTGAAGGTGTTGCTTTGTCCAGAGAGACCTGTTCTGGCCTGTTCGGGCACACACCCATCCCAAGTCTAGTCCACAGCAATTCCTAGTTTTTTTGGTTTTTTTCTTTTGTACTGGAGATTGAACTCAGGACCTTGCACTGGGGAGGCAGGCACGGTGCCACGAGCTAAATCCCCAGCCCCATGCAATTCCTAGTTTTGCTGTGTTTCTCTCTATAACCTGGGTAGGAAGGAAATGTTGGACAGATTTCAAGCATGCTTTTTGGCTGTGGTGTTCAGCGATAGTGACTGCACCTTGTGCCATTGGTCGGTGGAGCCAGGGTGAGTTCTGTGAATCAAATCAAAACAGTTCTACTGGGGAAAGGTCAGTGTATTTCCTCTTGCCATAAACTGAGTCACTGGCAATTGTTCTGTAAGTAAAGATCAGAGAGTTCACAGTTATCAGATGACTCATAGTAAAACTATCTAGCCTTGTTTCTAATAATTGAAATTTCTAAATAAACAGTTGATTTATGTGTAAAATATAAAACAAAACAAAGTACCTTTTCTTTTTTTGAGACAGGGTCTCATTAAATCATCAAGTTGCTCAGACTGGGCTCAAACTTGCAATCCTCCTGTTTCAGCCTCCCAGAGTGCTGGGATTACAGGTGTGTTCTTCCCCGCCCTACTACCAATAACTGCCTTTGATGGAGTCCTATAAGAGTTAAGTGATTTGCCTTTATAAAATACCTGAATATAGTTTAATCTTAGTGCCTTAGGCTTCTCATATGCCAGGGTCTATTGCTGTGAAGCGATGGCAGACTGCTTGGGTGTGCCAGTCCCTTTGAACTTCACAGGTCTTCAGCTTGCTGGGGCTTTTATCTCTGCACTTTGTTTCTTGTCTCCTCCCTGATATCTACTTTCTCTTTTGACCATTGTTCCCTTCTGGATCTAACTCCTTATTAGGATGTCCTGTGTTCAGTTAGAGGTATCAACAAGCATGCTTGTTAGAATTAACCCTAAAATAATAAGAAACTGGTTTCTAACTTGGAACTGGGATGCTCTTCTGTGTAGACCATGCTCCAGCTTTGGGTCTGGTCCATCAGAGGGCTCTTTGCTACCTTCTTCGTCTACTTTTTCTCAGTCTTTGGTGGGATCTTCGAGCTTTGTCAGATTGACTTCTGAATGTGTACAGTGGAATATTTTAATAGTAAACAAATGTGAGTTGCCCATACTAATCCTCAAAATTGGAGCTGATGCGTCATCGCTACCGTGTGTAATGCCTCATAGTACGTACCTGCCATTGTCTTCCTTTTCTTTGTACATTTTTGTGTTTTGGTTTCTGGTCCATGAAGCTGTGCTAATTATGGGGTAATTCGAATATCCAGTCTCCACTGAACGCTCCAAATCCCAGTGTGCATAGACAGCAAATGGGACTGCTCACTTGTAAGCATCTTCTCCCTAATCCTTCCTTTTCCTGTGTGTGTCTTACATCTACAGGGATGGGTAAGTACGCCTTCCACAGCCTGGACTTTCCTTTCCAAGAGAGTAGGCCTTTTTCTTTTATTGGTTAGAATGGTTGAAGAGAGTCAGGGTACCCTGTGGCAATATGCTGACGAGTAGAACGTAGGCAGTGACAATTTAGAAAAAATTGAAAGGATAAATTATTTCCATGGGGTATGTACTTTTCACATTTTTCAGCAGTTGAAGCAGAAAACAGACATGAAGTAGGATGATTTCTGAGTTGGAAGGGAGGACACCCAGTAGCTTGCTCCTGCATAGTGGGGAAGCCCCAGTGACAGGTGCTTGAAGCCGTGATTAAGTCTAAACACATATTTCACTGGCATGAGAAGCTTGCCTTTGAATAATTTTAGGGATGGGCACTAGAGCTGACTTCTTAGTTTATGGAGGTAAAGGTCATGTGTAAAATAGGTACTTGTGGAGGGAATTTATACCACTGTATCATGTGACATCTGTGCAGCCCATTTGCAAGATAAACTCAGCGTCTTTCAGCTCTGATGACAAACAGGAAATGTTCACACGTTTTGTTTCTGCAGTGAAATGTGAGCTATACTGGTGGTGATGTAATAGGAATGGAAGAGGAGGAAATGCCAGAGTTGAATGGAAGAATACAGTCAGGAAATTCTGACTCAGCCGTCACTTTACTGCCGTTGCTAGCTTGAGGAAAAGCACTAGACTTAAGGGAGTAATTGTTTAATTACATTTACTCTAAATCTAAACAGCGCTCATGTTTCAATAAAACAATAGACGCCTGAAACAGAGATTCAGTAATTGCATATATAGAAGTTTCCGTGAAAGAAGACAGAGTTTTAGGACCCATGTTGAACTTTTCGATATAAAGTAGTTCTTTGGCAGGTCTTTTTCATTACCTGCTCATTTTATTGAGTGGCCATTGGCAGAAGCCAGCACCACTTAGAATTGTAGCAATTTGCCAAACTACGGCTCTACTGATTTAGAAGGCAATTGATTTTGACTCTGCATGAATAGACGGTGCAGTTCTGTCAGTTAGGTCAAGCTGTTGTACGATGAAGCTTATTTTTCTCTCCCCCTACTGGTCCAGAGAGGCTGGTTGTTTCTCCAGGAGCTGTCTTGTCAGCGTGCTGGGGGCCTGGACACTGCCGTGGCTGGATTCGCACTGTGGAGGGGGAAGAGCCCACTCTCAAGAAGGTTGGCAGCTTTCACTTTTGCTTCCCCCTGGGGAGAAGGATAACTGGATTTTGGCAGAACTGTAGCGATCTTTCCCAACTCTTCTTTATTGGAAATGTACTATACCCCTATCTCTTTTTATTATTATTTTTTTAAAATTTGAGACGGAGTCTGTCTTATTTGCTCAGTTGTCCAGGATGGGCTCAAACTCCAGGATCATAAATTTAAGTCCAGCCTAGGGCAGCTTAGCAAGACCCTGTCTCAAAATAAATACAGATTTTATAAAAGGGCTGGAAATGTAGCTCAGTGGAAAGGTCCTGGGTTCAGTCCCCAGTACTGAAAAAAAAGAACAAAATATCTTTACACAGAAGAATATATCATGGTATTGAAGTAGCTTGGAATAATGTGACTAAAATACATTAACATTTTTTTCTCACAGGACAAATATAAAAGGAGAATAAGCTGCTGCCCTAATTTAGGGTTCCTTATCAGTCCTTCAACCATGTTTTGTTGTGGATTAAATGTGTACCTACGCCAAGCCTTCCATGTTTTGAGAAGGCTGCTATTTTTCTATTTCCTTTCCATTCTCAATTGTTCTTGGGTATATAGAAATATCTTGAAAATCATGTTCACCACAAGTCCTAGTTTTCTTTAGAAAGAAGAATATAGAAGCCCTTTCCCTTTTAGGTTTGTACAGATTTTTCTAATTTTCTTTTGCATTGTTTTTTCTTTTAGAGTAGTTGTATATATCCGCTGTACTTAATTATTATGTGACCTTCTCTAATATTTATAAATTCACTAATTTTACTTTACTAATTTTAACTAATTGGCTAAATATTTAAATACAATGACTAAAATTCACCTCAGCTCCTCCAAAAGAAGAAGGAAGGAAGGAGAGAGAGAGAGAGAGAGAGAGAGAGAGAGAGAGGGAGGATGAGAGGCTCCATGTAAAGGGTATATTTAGGATTTCATGATGTGAAATTAAAGTTAGTGAGGATCATCATAAATGGGTCAGAACAGGCAAAGGTAAAGATAACCCACTGTGAGTCGGTCAGTAAAATTCTGCTAGACAGAGGGAGCAAGGACAGCTGTACTGAAAACACATTCTTAGCAGGAATCTATTAAGAGAAATCTATATAAAGAAGTTGTTACTGACTTAATACAGTACTACTGCAGCAACGCATTGTCATAAGAACAGGGCAGTGGTCTGTATGAAGCCTGAAGAAGTGACAGCCAAGGAGTGATACATTGTTCCGTGTGTCTCATTTTACCCAGGTGTTGTGGTCTAAGTCTTAAGGGTCCCCCACAGAACTATGTATTAAAATCTTGGTCCTTAGCTTGGCACCATTCGAGGGTGGTAGAAACTAAGAGGTGAGGGCCAAGTGGAAGAAGTTAGGCCATTGAGGGATGTACCCTTGGAGGCCATATTGGGACCCCAGCCCCTTCCTTTCTCCCTGCTCTCTGGCTGGCTGCCACTAGATCAGCAGCTTTGCTCTTCCACATGCTCCTGTCCGTGACGTCCTGCCTTGCCACAGCCCTTCCCTCCAACCAGTTCAACCATGGACTGAAACCTCTGAAATCATGAGCCAAAAGCAACTTTTCCTCCTCTTAAACTCATGTTCTGAAATACTGTGTCATAGCAACTGAAAGCTGACTAGCACATTAGGTGAGAAGGTTTCAAGGGCCAGCCACAATAATGTATTGAATAATTTAGGAAAATTCTTTATAGAAAATAGGAAGTAAATATTCATTCAATAAAATTAACAGCTTGGAAGATAGCAGGTACTGTGTTATGTTAACTCGCAGGCTGTATGGCAATAGGTGTTTAACAATTAGAGGATGTGATGATCACATTATGCTCATGAATTATTTTGTTCATATGAGTGTGCTTTAGAGTCAGGTTGGCTGGGTTCAAACTGTAGTTGAAGTACTTATTACAAGCATGGCCTTAGGCAAGTTAGTTAGTATGTATTTCTGGGAGAACAAAAAATGGAGCTTCTCTCCATCCTTGTAGATTGCTTTGCCGGGCTCTGAAACAAATTGGCATAAGACGGATTAACAGGGCAAATGCACTGAGTTACGTATACATGCAAGAGCCCCACAAGACGCGGAATGGAGGAAGGGTTAGATGGCTGAAACTCATGGGGCGACTTGGAGCTGCAGCAAGGGACAGGGACTTGGGGTCTGTGGGGCCGAGTATGGGAAGATAGGAGCACAGTGAGTAAGGGGATCTTGGTGTGCAGACAACAACTGTCTCCAGCAGTGCAAGTTGTCTGGGAGCGCACAGGGGAACGCACGATAGGATGACGAGGTGGCAACATCTAGAGCTAGCCCTTGCGGGTGGCGAGGTCCCCACAGAGGCACTAGTGACCCATCTCTACACAAGGGCTTGCCCACCTGAAGCTCCTCTTCCCCAAGTACCTGCGCTTCCAAGCATCATATTTTGGGGTGAGATTTGTTGAGCTCCTTCACTCTGAACCTTGTTTATAGCTTTCAGTTTTATGCTTATTGTGATCTAAGGTTATTGTTTAGTATCGACTATTAGATTAGCATTGTATAGCTTTACGTATTAATAGAACTTACCTGTTTATTCATACAAATATTTTTGCACTGGGATATTTAAAGTCAAAATTCTGTTCCCCAATTTGAAAAATATAAGTCCTTTGAAAACACTGATATTTATTAGTTTTCATTTTAATATTTATATTTTCTTTTAGCTGGTACCTGGTGATCAGTTTGCCTAAAAATATCAAAACTTGACTGATTGCTTGATTGATTGATTGAGACAGGGCCTCGCTATGCAGTTCAGGCTAGCTTGGACTCACTAGACAGCCAAGGCTGTCCTTGAACTCGTGGCAATCCTCCTACCTCAGCCTCACAAGTGCTGGGATTACAAGCATGTACTACCATGCTAGGCCAAAACTATATTTAGAATGGGCATTTTTTATGAGGATTGGGAGGTAGCTCCATGGTAAAATGCATGTTTGGCATGTATGAGACTGTGAGTTCAATCCTGAGTACTGCCAAAAACCAACAAAACAAGATTTTTCCCCTGTCCCTTTTTTTTTGACTGGGAAATTTTAAGTAGAATTTTAATCTTTTGTAAGAACTATGAGATTCTTTCCTTTGGTAGAGTATTCTTTAATTGCCTCATTTTTAATATAATGTCGCATCGACCAAATTTCATCTTGTATTTGGGAGGCACTATTTAAAATTTTCCAAATTTCATGGATCTTGTTTTTTCCTTCAGCAACCTTTTGTGGAGGAAGAAAAACTATAGAGGTTATCTCTCTTTTAATGAAGATGAAGTTGAAACAGAGAGGTCAAGTTTTAACAGCTGGTGTTAGCCTCGGGACCAGTATCTAAGGCCCTTTATTTTCAACCTGGAAGTTTCAGGTTGGATGTGTTTTCTGAGTTGATTGGTGTGAGGAAGACTCGTGTACAGGTTCTTAGGAGGGTCCGAAGTCCATGGATCGGAAGAAGCAAGTGGCAGCTGAAGGAAATCAAAATGTTTCACCCTAGAATAGAAAGAATTAAAATGTAGGGAAATTTTTTTCCTTGTTTATCTAAAATCAGGGCCGAGATTCATAACAACATGGTTCTTCCACTCCTATCCATGGCGTGTGTACCTGAAGACAGGGATGTGAATTCTCACTCCACTCAGAGGTTTAGGCATCGGGAGACTCTGCAGGCTAACTTGCTCCCCATAAATTTACCATCCTACACCTCTTCCACCTCTGCAGCTGAGACTACTGCTTCTTTGTCTTACCACTTCTTTCTTGCTGAATTACTGTTGAAGGTGGGATCCCAAGCCATTGCCTTGAAAGTTGCTTTTCTCTCACATGATGTCTATTGCATCCATTGATGCACTTGCTTATTTTCCTCTGTTACTGTCTTTTTTTTTTTTTGGTACCAGGGATTGAACTCAGGACCTTGCACTTTCGAGGCAGGCATGGGACCACTGAGCTAAATCCCCAGCCCTGTTACTCCGTCTTTTGTTGCAGGAACCCATCATGACAGTACATTTAGGATGGTTGAGGGAAAATTCTATTGTTTCTCTCTTTTACAACTCACATGCCAAACAGTTACCATTATATAGTATATCATGTTGTCCATTTTTCCATGTTGATGCTTTCCGTTGTCAAGGAGGGCTGCATTTGTAATTTTTCACATGAAAACTCAGCTTCAGGTTTGTTATGGTAGGAGAGGAAAACTTGTTTTCTTTTACCCTTCTAGATTTTTAGCTGAGTCTCTGTAACGAAAAATAGACAAACAAGAGAAAAACAAAATGAGTTTATTAACATGTGTGTCACAAATGTCACACATCAGAGTGCCCTGTAATTCAAAGGATGCTTAGAATTTAGGGGATTTTTGAGCAGGAGAGCAAATTATGGGAAATGACCAGGAAAAATGTCATGAAGAAGGGCAAGCCTTGTCATGCAGGTTTCAGTCTGCTCCTTCTCCAGCGATAAGTCAGTTGTGGTTGAGTCATATTTCTCTTCCTGGTACAGAAAGGGAGACACCCTTACAAATGGAGAGTTCCTTCACAAAGTAAATCCCCCTTACAAAGGGGAACTATGCTCTGTCATCAGAGCTTCTCCCTTGTCTGCTGTTTCTCAAAATAATCAGCTCAAAATAATCTTTAATGTCAAAGAGGATTTGGCTTGACATATTTTGGTCTCCTAGAAAAAATATTCATGTTTCAGGTTTCCCTGTTAGAACCACATGATAAAATTCTTGGTGCTAAGAAAACATGCTTTTTAGGACAATGCAAAGCTATAAGTTAAGGATCATCACTTTCATCAGGGTATATGTGCATAGAAAATGGCCCGGACACTTTTCACAGTGCTATCACAAAATAATGGAGAAAAATTTAAAGACAGAAGGATTTGTTTTGGCTTAGGGTTTCAGAAATTTCAGTCCATGGTCCCCCCGGGTCCATTGCTTCTAGGCCTGTGGTGAGGCAGAAGAGTCACAGCAGAGGGGCATGTGAGCAGAAAGCTGCTCATCTCACGGCAGCCAGGAGGCAGAGGGGCCAAGAGAGCCAGGAACCAAGGAGCTGGGGAAACGATGTGGTCCCCAAGGCCACGGCCTCATGATCCACCTCATGGCCCTTCAGCTATGAACTCATCAGTGGACCAATCCATCTCTGAGGTTGGCGTCCTCACAATACAGTCTTTCCCAGCAGACCCAAACCTTAACAGTCAGTCTGGAGAGAGGTGTGGACATTATGGTGTATTTTTGAAAGTCTCCCCAGAGGATTTGGGTGATCAGCCAGGCCTAGGGACCTTGAACTACGGCAGCATCTTGTTAGTTCCACTCAGTGATTGAGCAAATGCTCTGCGAAATTTAGATCAGGAGAGAGGAGATGAATAAGAAGGGATATGGTGAACGTTTGTGGAATCTTTAGGGAAAGGATGAACATGCATATGCTTGCTGAAGTCCATGTATCAAAATGAATGAAGTAAACTAACTCGGTTTGACTCTTGCATATGTAAAATATGTCAGATGTGTACAGATAGACGAAGTGGAGGAGGCAGGGTTCTGAGACCCTTTCAGGGAAGAGCCATGTCCTACTTTTCTGTTGCTATAACAATACCTGCAGCTGGGCAATTTATGAACTAAGGTTTATTTTAGCTTACAGTTCTGGAGGTTGAGAGGTGCAGGGTTGGTGGCTGTGTATGGTGAGGGCCTCATGCTGCCCTGTAGGGAGTTGGCAGGGCAGGTGGGCACCTGCGGACATGGAACATGAGAGGTGCTTCACTTCATAACAGCCTCTCTGATAGTAACTAATCCCTTCTCGTAAGAATTAATCCATGTTTTTATCACAGAACAGGGCCCAATGAGGTCCCCCCAAAGAGGAGATGGGGGCCTTAAGCCCCCCTTCCACCCATGGAGTAGGTTCTTGGCTTGTCATGGAAAGCAGTTACAGGATTCATTTGTGACAGGCATAGGCAGATTTATTAGGCAGTCAATGAGGTACACACTTAAGGTGCAGGCCCTCCAGGGGGAGCCACTGGGGCTGCAGCTGGTTGTATTTATATGGTCTTTGATTTATAGGCTGTTACCTTTTAAGACTCTTAAGAATTTTAGGGCTGGGGATTTAGCTCAGTGGTTTGGCCACCTGCTGCACAAGCGCAAGGACCTGAGTTCGATCCCCGGTACCAAAAAAAAAAAAGAATTTTGGGGTATGTTGCCTGGAAAGACAAAGTGGGTTTCACAGTGTAAAAAGGCCTTCTAACCCTGGATAATTTTGATTATGTCCTGAAGCTGCATTTGTTTTTAGAAGTACAATTTTAAAATTGCAGTTTTTCCTGTCTTCTTTCTACATTCATTCTATCCTACCTCATCTGAGGAGGCATTAATCCTTCTTAGGACTCCATCATGTCTCAAAAGTCCCACCTCTCAAAATCATCACATGGCAATCAAATTCCAACAGGAGATTTGGAGGGCTCAAGCCGCGTTCACGGCACAGTTGGTGAGTTACCAGGACCTGGTGTCTGTCCTTGGCCACCATGGATAGTCAGCAAGGGAAGTTCAGGGTCATTTTGCTTCTTGAAGGAGAAGAGTAGGTGAGTATTCAGGGTGGTGTGGATTGCAAGTGCCAGAAACTCAATCAGGAGAGAGAGAGAGAGAGAGAGAGAGAAAGGAAGGCAAAGGGAATCTCTTGGTCAGAGTTGTTACCTGGGTCCTTGGAGGCCAAGCTCACGGAGTCAAAGAGGCAAGGCTGGAGGAACTAAGTCCTCAGGCCTTGGAGTCAGATCTTGCTTCACCAGGCCTGTCTTTGTCTAGCTCTCATCTCTGTAAGTCTCTGTGTTTATTTAAATGGCCTCATTCTTCCTAGCACAGGACTGAGGGTGGCCCCTGGATAGCAACCTCAAATCAAAGAAAGTTCATTTCCTATCTTTTTATCAGTGGTTTTGAAACTTTTGCAGCGTCATAGTCTTTCAAACTGCCTATTAAAGGACAGATTTCTGGGCTTCTGTTTCCAGTTTCGGCCACAGGAGGTCTGGGATGAGGCCCTAGGATTTGCAGTTTCTAACAACAGTGCACTTGATATGGGTGCTGCTGCTCTTAGCAAGCAGAAGAAATAAAGACAGGCAGAAAGGAGACAGGGAAACTCGGTGTTTTGCCTGTCTTCTTATCTTAAACTTGGTCACATTCCTGCTTAACTCTGCAAGTAGGATGCCAATCATTTAGGAAAAGCAAGACAAAGTTAATGAGCCCTAAATTTACCTAGTCCATGTCATGCCCCTTCAGGAATGCGGGCACCAAGATTAGGGTAACTAAAGTGATTTTCAGGGTTGGCGGGACACCCAACTGCCAGCTCCTCTACCATCCCTTCCAGAGGCCCGAGAAGCAATACCTAGAAGTCATTAGCCATTGTCTGAGCCTGGAAGACCACCCCATGGGGAGATCACCTGCCCCACAAGCAGAAGGGATTAGGCCACGTAGTCAGCAGTCCTGATCTGTCAACTTCATGGGCGTGAGAAATGCCTAGCAGACAGTAAAGCACACTCCCTTGTCTCAGCAGGTCTCGGAGCTGTGGCCTTAGGTGTGGCTACCATGTGTGGCCCCTGGCCCAGTTCCCTCCAGAGCCACACCCGATATTCATGCCCCGGAGCCAGCTGACTAGGAACCGAATCCCCCAAATCCATGAGCTCCTTTAAGCCTCTCCTCCTCTAAACTGTGAATGGCCAGTGTTGGGTCCAGCGATGGGGAAGCTGACGTTCACAGCCTGTGACGGGGGCAGCCCCTTCTGAGCAAGGACAGTCATCTCACAGGAACCAAATCGCTCCTCACATCCTAAGGGTCCCCCTAGAACTATGAAAGCAGAACTGAGGTGGTTGAGGGACCCTGGTCCACCTCAGCCATCCTCGAAAGCTGGCCTCGTGCTTTTGCCCGTGTACCAGCTTGAATCCCTGCGTCAGAGCGAGCCACCTCCAATCTCTCAGGCAGGAGTGCTTTTCCTGTTCTTCCTTGTTTTCTAACTCTGCCTGAGAAACTTGCATTGCACCTCACACTGACCTCTCCCGAAGTTCTTTTTCTGTGCCTCGGTCCAATCTCCTCTTTGGGGGAGCCCCTCTGATGCTGTCTGGTGACACAACTTTGAGAACTATTGGTGTCTGTTGATCCCGGAAGGACCTTTTCCTTTGTGCTTTGCGCACACCACACCACTCTGTTGTGCATTGTTTGGCTTATGCAGGAGTGGAAGGGCGGAGGTGGTTCTTTCTGCACTTACAGGTTTTCTGCCGGGTCTGTGGACGAAGTTGATACAGAACAGATTAAGAGGAGAAGGGCAATTTAAATTATGTATGTCCCACAAAAGTACATAACTCAAATGATCAGACTTATAAATCATCCTGAGTTACCGGAAGGAATGGAGATTTGGGATTTGGGGAGGTGGGAGACACAAGTTGCAGGAAGTTGAGGTTCAGAGTGAATAAAGTTGCCTTGTTATACAGATAAAAGTAGAAGACTGAAAACTGTCTCTGGGTCTCTCCTTCTGGTACAGATACTTCCATAAATGTAAGTTTCCTTTACAAAAAGGGAACATTGGTGCTTTGTTTTAGTCAGTTGAGAGGTGAGTAAAGAGCTTTTCCTGCACTGTCCGGTTCTCAGTTTCTTTTATCTCAAAATAATATGCAAATGCGGCATACTTTTGGGGTGACATATTCTGAACCCCTTCATTTCCCATTGTTTTCACAGTCGTAATCAACTCAGAGCTTTACCAGTGGTTTCTTAACCCTTGGGGTTCTCCCAGAAGGAAGGTACTGCATTCTTGGAACCACTAAGCGAGGAGGAAGAGAGATGCGGCAGGCTTTCGCTTGGGTTTCCATGGGTCTTTCAAAGCGAAGAAGAAATGCTAGGTGCTAAAAATAGTATTTTTAAAGTGTTTTCCACCTCTCCTTCCCCAAATATCCCCTCCCCAAATGCTGGAAAAGAATTCTAAAGGACAAAGAAAATGGGAAAGGAGGTGACAATAATAAGAAAGTGTGGAAATTGGAAAGAGAGGTGATAAACGATTTAACAGCTTGGAGAGCTGGAGACTTTACCAGTCTCAGAAAGTGCCCAGAAGCAGCCTCATTCTGCAGAGTCCCAGACAGCCCAGGCCTGGAGCCATGGCGTGACCTCTGACGGTGACAACACAGGCGACATCAGGGAGAGGGTTGGAGACACAGTGCTACCTCTGGATCCGCTTCCTGAGTGACAGTGTGAAGGAGACGGTTAGCCTGCCCTGGAAGAACCCGAGGGCTCTGACCTCAAGGCCCACAAGGACCGGCAGTGAGTTCCCAATCTGGAACTGGGTGTTCAGCACAGATCTGACAGACATCCCCTCTTCCGGCCCCTCTGCCCATCTCCCTCTGCCCATGATGGCTGCCAGGCAGCCTGGCCCGAGGCAGGGCCTCTTTAGGTAAGATCAGCCCAAGAGAAAAGATGCCCAGAGACTCCCAGGTGGGAGGTAAAATAGCCAGGACCAGAAGGGAGGCAGAAGAGAATGTAGTGGATAGGAGAAAATCTTAGTAAAAAAGAAAAGAAAAAACTAAAGCTATAATTGACATGTGCAGAGAAAGAAGGTCTTGGATCCTGGAGAACAGGATGTTATTTTTAAAACACAATTCTGTAAATTAAAAATAGCAGAGCTGAAGTTAAATATTCAGTAGAAGTTTGGAAGAGAAAGTGGAAGAAACCTATCAGAAAGTAGAACAAGGAGGAGGCATGGAATGAAACATAAGATAACGAAATTAATCCAGGAAGTCTACTATTTGAGTACTGTAATCCTGAGATAGAACAGAGACACTGATGGAGAGGAAAAATTAGGAAAAAGATTTCCTGGAACTCAGTGGCAGTTGTCCCTGGATTAGAGTCTCACAGTGTTTACAAGGGCATCTTGCAGAACCATGGAGATCACATCCATGCATTAAAATGTCAATGGTACCCCCTGGAGTGATGCAGCGCGCATCCTGCCCAACTGGATATGGCAGCCTAATGAATGCCAAAAGTCCCATGGCATGACATTTTGGCTAGAAATTTTAAAGTACTAAACAGAAAAGGAATTTGGTCAAAGCCTTCAAGGAGGAAAACAACTCAGATCCAGAACCTTAGAAAAAAGAGCAGCATCAGATTTGCCATAGTTAGGATCTGGAATGTTCCTCAAAGACCCATGTGTAAAAGGCTCCATCTCCAGCTTGACACTACTGGGAGGCTGGAGAACCTTTAAGAGGTGAGGCCTGGTGGGGCACTTTCCGGTCATTGGGGTACACCCTTAAAGGGGATTTTTGAAACCCTCATAAGTACGTGTGTATGTGTCTCTATTATCTATCTATCTGTCTGTCTGTCTATCTATCTATCTATCTATCTATCTATCTATCCATCCATCCATCCATCTGTGGAGACAGGGTCTCACTGTGTAGTCCAGGCTGGCCTTGAACTCACAGCGACCCTCCTGCCTCAGCCTCCCGAGTGCTGGGATGACAGGTGCACAACACCATGCGTGGCCTTTCCTCTTTCTTCTCTGTTCCTGGCCCTGAGGTCCTGCTTTGCCACGGGTCCAATAGTGATGGGGCCAACAGAAGCCTCTAAAACTGACCCAGATGGCCTGGCATGCTCTAGGTTGCTGCTCTCAGACTGTCTCTATAGTGATGGAAGCTGTTTGCTGTGAGACTTCTCAGCCAGTGCACGGTGCACTGCTGTGGTCCCAGCCCTGAGGGAGGCCGAGGCAGGAAGGACACAAGTGCCTGTCCCTCTTGGGCGACTTAGCAGGACCTCATCTCAAGGGGCTGGGGATGTAGCTCCGGGGTACAGCACCCCTGTGCTCAATCCCTGGCACCAGGGGCAAGGATTTCTCAACAGAAATGTAATCAGAAGGCCACAGAACAATGAAAATTTTGAGGAAAAATAATTTCCAGACCATAATTCTGAACTTGGCTATCTTATTTAGGATTCTCCATTGTGCACAGCAGCGTCTGCACAGTTAATTTAAACAGATGAGAAATGCTGATCTCGGGTTGCTTTGATTGCTTATGAACTTTCCTGGTTTTGCAGAGAAGACAGGTTTGTAGCCGCATTGGCAGAGTCGGTAGCCAAAGACCACAGCAGGCAGACTCCAGACCCGGCGGGTGGCAGAGGCAAAGCGTCACACTACTGCCACTGTCCCCTCTTTCCAGAGCAGACCTCACTGTCTCCATCACCTACCAAAAGGAGGATCCTGCAAGCAGCTGCTTCCTCGCATTGGTGACCTCTGAAGTTTCCTTCAGTCCATGTCATGAGTTTAGGTCCCTGGGAGACTTTAGGTGACACATCCTCCTGCTACAGGACAGCACCTTGGAAAGTGAGACTCAAGATGTGGGGAGTTTAACCAGGGAAAGATAATCAAAATATTTGGAACAGCATCATAAATGAAAAAATATTTCCTACACCAGACAAATGCTTAAGAGTGGGGTAGAGGAAACACACGTCCACACAGGCAAGTCTACAAAAACCCTCTACCCCTCCAACCTTTGTAAGAAATCTGCTGTAAGAAGTCCTACCCATCTGCACAAGGAAAATAAGACATGGAACCCAGAAATGGGATCCAACATAGGCAAGTGACAAACAGAAGCCCCTTAACGGTGGCAGAAGGAAGCTGGAGTGAACCACCAAGCAGGAGGCTTAGAGAGCAGCCCCTCCAGCCTGCAAGGAGAGCTGAGGGCTTCTGCAGGGCTGGCTGCAAGAAGGCAGGGCATCCAGTGAGTGTAAACACCAGGAGAGGGGAGGGGCGTTTGGATAGTTGGAGAGTTTGGCCATAGGTCAGGGAGCCACATAGACAACTAAGGAAGTGGGAGAAAGGAAGAAAATTGTTAATTTTAGAGAGAAGAAAAATTTGCAAAGGAAAAGGAAATATAACTAAAATACAGTACATTAAATGTATGCAATTGCCTATGAAAGCAAAATGCATAACTACAAAATGTACACACCAGCTATTGATTTAGCAAAATAATGAAATCTGTAATTGTATTAGGAAAATAAAGGGGAAGTAGATACAGTCATTTGCCATATAATGATGTTTTGATCAAGGACAGACCATGTATATGAGGATGGTCCCATAGGGTTATAATAAAGCTAAAAAATTCTGATCAGCTAGTAGTACAGCATTGTAGGGCTGCAGTCCAACGCGTTACTCATTGGGTTAGTGTTGCTGGTTAAATCTACTGTGCTGCCAGTTGTATGAAAGTCTAGCAGTGCAATCATGTACAGTACATAATACTGAGTGTGAGTGAGTATGCTACTAGTTTATATGATATTGTTATTTTAGGGTGTACTGCCATGTATAATTTTTATTTTACTGTAAAACAGTACACTATGTTCTGGGACAGTGGCCTTCTGTATCTTGTGCTTACTAATCCCCTGATGTCAAGAGCCCACATGGGGTTTCTGACCTAGACCATCTGGGATTATATAAACACACACTGTGGTTTTCACACAGCAATAAAATTGCCTAACAACACTTAGAGAATCTCCCTGTCATTAAGGGACATGTGGCTATATACATGTGTGGGGATGGAAGTGAGTTAAATTCTTATCTCCCATCGTTAAAAACCAAGATAATATCTAAAAGTGAAAAATCCAGAAGTCTAATATTTTTTAAAAATGTATTTATATCAAGCAAATTGCATTTATATCATTAATAGCATAGTTAATAATTTGTATAGTCATAATTCTAAGCTAAGCACATTATTTTAAAATGTGAAGGTAAAGGCCAGAGTAAAGGTCTTTTGAGGTGAGTTTGTCAGGTGGAGGGAGGTCTTGTCTGGGGAGCGGAAGGGTTGGGCAGGCGACCATGGTTTTTCCTTCTAAGCCATGCTGAACTCTTTGACTCTAAAACATATGAATATTCACAATTTAATAGTTAACAAAAAATACAGAGTGAAAATACGTGATGGATTCTTGCAAGCTCTATGTTCCAGATTATAGTTCTGTGCTGTTTTTCATGCTATGGTGCAATGATAAAGACTTTAATTCTTACAGTAGTGTGCAGTACTTTCAATGGCGTAAATGAGACATTTGTGAGGAGTTTGAGGGAAAACAGGGAGTACAGTTCTGCTCAGTCTGTATTTCGGCACAGTTACAGTCAGGTCTCTGCTGTAC